TTAACTAGTAAAATTAACCTTGGGAAGAAAGTCCTGTTTAAGCTGGCAGGATCCCCTTTGATATGTTAACAGCCGCTAATAAGGCTGCAGCTGGCAGTTGACTTGTCATCCTTGGAGCAGGCTCTTAATGTGCTATCAGTGATGAATGTCAGTCAAGTTCATGGACTTTTAGTGCACTGTGCACTAGCAGGTACTCTTGGGGCATGGAACTATGTCGTGATAGAAGAAAGTGCCAGATAAACATTTCCACAGGGTTAACCACAAAAAGTGAGATCCCAGAGGAAACAGTCCTAAGCCAAAGTTTCATTTTGGTTTTAGTCACTAAAATACTTGCCTGATTTCCTTTTTTTTTCCCTTGCAAATGTAGCTGTTATGTTAGCTGTTCTGCATTAAGTAGTTGATCTTGGATAAAAGAATGGATGAGTATAACGGAGTTTTCTTTTCCGAATGTTTTTTTTTTATTTATTTATGCATATAAGAACTGGGGTAGAAGCCAAAGGTGTGGGGGGGGGTGGGGGTGCGCTGAGAGGATTCACCAAAGATAGAGATGGGAGCAGAACAGGCAGATCTACTGAAATCCACTGCCGAGCAGGGGGTGAGACAGGAGAGGTCTGCTGTGCCATGTGGGCCAGCTCCCTGGGTGGGGTTTGAACTCAGGCCACAGTGGTGATGGCCCTGAGACTTAACTTGTACGCTACTGGAGAGGCGCCCTGACTGTTCCTCAGTCTATAAGATCCAACTCTGATCCTAAGTTTGAAATTATGGAAATAAAACATGGAGATAAGTATTACAGTTTGTAATGTAATCGTTGTGGATGGCTATGGCCTGGGACCTGAATGTTTCATCTGTTTCCCATTCCTCAGTGTAGAACAAAGTGTCATGAGGAGTGTTGGGAAGTGAAAATACACAAAAATATATCAGAGCTACTCATTTGACAGGAACAGATGCAACACCCTTCCCTCCCACACCCCTTACAGAAAATTATTGTACTTTGGTTGATATTATACCTGCTTGATATGGATGTGTAGAATTTCAGTTCTGTCATCCTTAGAATTTCAGTTCTGTCATTTCTCAGAAACAAATCATGTTTAGAATAGTCCATGTACCAGTATGACTAAATCTAAAGAGAAGTAGTTTGAGTCTCTTACATCCCTGAACTGTTGTTCTGTTGATTCCCATAGATGACATACGGGGATGTTTTCAAGCCTGCTATAGGAAATGAGTAGTTGAAAATTGATGGATGCTTTATCTCAGATATACCTCTAAAATTGTGCATGGAGAGTGGCAATATAGTTAAAGGTGAATTGGATGGAAAAGTTTGTCTTTCTAGAAATTGTCATTATAATTTGATTAGGCAGGAAGGTTAAGGTGCACATTAAAGCTGCATGCTGTTGTTTGAGCTCAAAATAGCCACTCAGTATACATCTATCAAATTTTGTAGCCTTTTGGAGAGATTAATGTGTCAAATTTTTAACTTTGTTATCAGTTGTATAGGATTTGTATATATAGTCTATTTGAAATACCTTTGTATTTACACTTAAAGGGCCATACTAAAAAATGCTCAAAAAATGTGAAGGAAAGGAAAACAATTTTCTAAAGGATCAAATGATTTAGAATTTAGCTTGTGTGCAGCACCAAGCTAATCTGCTAAAGTATAAATACACAAAATCCTTCTGAGATAGGAGTTATATGGGAAACCAAATGTACTCCATGGTATTGTTGGAGAGTGGACAAATTAGACAGCCAACAGGTGGGCAAGTTGGTTTGAAATCAGGCTCCTCATTGCATGATTTCTGTAGCACTTGGAACTACCTACATGAGCTACATCAATCTGTAGGCTATACCAGGATGTAGCTCTAGGTAGGTCTTGTTTGTAAAATCGCTAGAGTTCTAATGTTTCACCTGGAGCACTTTAATGCTTAAAGGATGAACTGATATTTAATAGAAGTAATACATGAAAACTGAGATTGACGTGCCACTCTGTCCCTACCCTTAAAAACAGAACATCTGTAGGTGCCATTCATTAGAAATGCAAGTGGAGTAGTTAGAATTGCTCACTAAATGAGTCATGAAAGCTGAAGTCAGGTAATTCTCAATATCCTTTTTTTTTTTATTACAAAGTTTATTTTTACATCATTTTGCACATTTTTTTTTCCATCTCGATTGTATATCCTATTTTGACCCTAAGTGATGCGTGCCAATTTCATGAATTACACGGTAAAAATCTGTGATAAGGGCCCTCCCTGGTGGCGCAGTGGGTTAAAGCACAGCACTGAGAAACTAAAGCCACTTCTGCATGAGTTCGATTCCCGCCTGCCCCGGAGGTGACCACATGGCGCGGCAGACCTCTCCTGACCCGCCCGCTGCTCCCCTCAGCAGTGTACTTCGTCGATCTGCCTGTTCTGCTCCCCACTCTGTCTCTGGTGAAGCCTCTCGCCGCCCCTGAGCCTCTGGCCTGTACCCCAGTTCTGTATGAACAAATAAATAAATCTTTAAAAAATAATCTGTGATAAGGAAGGACCTGTGGTTGCCTTTGGAATCTTCTCTTTTAGATGATGAGCTATTAAGAGCATTGGAATGACAGGAGACTTGCATATGGAGCATAGTGACTAGGCTTTATTTTTCCAATGTGTCAGAGCTGTGTGCACAACACTTTGGAGGTATAATAACACAACTCAGTATACCTACTTGTTTTGTCTCTTGATGAGGCAGGACCACTTGGAAAGGATGCTAGTGATAGAGGCAACCTCTGGGAGGTAGACCAGATGACATTTAAGGTCCTATTATTTTTTTTTAATCCTGAGAGCTTTGAATTCTAAAAAAAGCTCCTGCAATTTGACACTTAGTTGACAGAAACTTCCACACATAAAAAAATGTGTCCCCAAAGCAGAAGTCACATTCAAGAATGCAGCAAAACTTTTTAAAATCACAATTAATTGGAAAGACATTTTCCTTAATTAAAACAATCATGCTTCCTTACCCTGAGTGCCTTGCATTCAACACAGCCCCAAGCTGGAGGTGATTGCTACTGAGAGGGGAAATGGGAGACTTTTGTTGGCTAGAGCATTGGTTACCCTCCAGGATTTGTCGATAGCTTTAGGTTGGGCCCAAGAACTTGCATTTCTGCTTCTGAGTTAGGACCACCCAGGGACCACATGGCAACTGCTCAGGTGAGGCTCTCTTCTCACATGCTTCCTCTAGCTACTTGTATATTCTCTGGCCTTCTTCCAGGGAGAGAATGTGGGTAAAATGCCAGGCTCTGCACTTGCAATGAAGATGAACAGTTGATCTGCCTATTTGTGGATGTTTTGGAGGGAATCCATTTCTATTTCTCCTTTCTCTCTCTGGAAACACCAGGAAATAAGAGACAAGTGGTAGCAGAAAGAAAAACTAGGCAAAAGTCTAGTTTTGGGGTCCAAAAAGACCCCAACACACAAAACTTGGAAAATTAGAATCCAGAGGACTATGGACTTCTGCCCAAGCCTCAAAACACCATGTGGTTATGAGTTAGGGGCATAGGGATGGGATCTCTTAGAGTTATGGAAAGTCACACACATCTCCCATTAAAAAAAAAAAAAAGGCTTCAGTGCAGGTTTGAGAAACTATTTGGAATTGGTCATCAACCTTTGATCTGCCCACCCAACATGAGGAGAGAATGGTTTTGTAGCAATATTGCATGTTGATAAGCTCGTGAATGCTTGTCTGACTTTAAAGGAGGCTTTATATTTTCTGTTTCTCACTCGGAGGCAGTTTCTTATTTGATGTGGTTCTTATATTTTCATGGCTATTTAATTACATTTCCTGCTTATAAATTTAATATCATGAGGTGTTTATATTTATACCAGGGAAGAGATTCTTTAAAAAATGATTAACAACAGATAAACACTGTTAACTCCTCTCATTATTGAACTTCCTGAGAAAAACTTCAGAAGAAACTAATTTGTCATTTCTACTTAAGAGATTAAAATCTTTACCACTTAAATGTTGGTATGTGGTAGCCAAAAACTAAATCTGAAGTAACCGGGTATTAATTATATCTATTTTTCCATGTTGTCTTATAAATATACCAAATCTGCGATTCAGTCTCTTCTCACCCCCCAAGAGTCTCATGATGTTACTATATGAATTTTAAGAACCCAGAGCCAGCTTGGGGAGCTTGGTAGAGGGATTGCTAAGAACTTTTTCAAGAAACTTATGTGCTCAAATCTAGTAATGTTTCATTATGTTTCTTGGCCTCAAGCACTTCCCAGCAGTTTTCTTGCATGTCATGCAGGTGTAAGAAGAAGAAAAGAAAAAACCTGTGTCCAAGGAAAACATCTCTTGAAAACACCTGTTCTGGTGTTAGGCTGCAATTAGAAGACATTATTAACTTTGGGTTAGATTCTTGCATTAAAATGTTCTGGGAGGGCCCTCCCCTCCCTGGTGGCGCAGTGGGTTAAAGCACAGCACTAAGAAGCTTAAGCCACTTCCACATGAGTTCGATCCCCGCCTTCCCACGAGGAGATCCACATGGCATGGCAGACCTCTCCGACCCGCCCGCTGCTCCCCTCAACAGTGTACTTCCTTGATCTGCCTGTTCTGCTCCCCACTCTGTCCCTGGTGAATCCTCTCACCTTCTGCATCTCTGGCCTGTACCCCAGTTCTGTATGAATAAATAAATCTTTAAAAAAATGTTCTGGGAAATTGTATGTTTTAGACTTTGTGCCCCATTGTAATTCATTTCTTTATTCACTGTGTGTGTGTGTGTGTGTGTGTGTGGGAGAGAGAGAGAGAGAGAGACTGATACCTAAAAAGTTATTGGCTTTAAATTTTCACATATGTCAGGGTGTGAGATTGGTTTCCTTTTATTTACGAATGGTCAGAGATGCCAAATTCCCCAACAGAAACCCACCCTATATGCCATATGTTCCTCCATTTCATTCCCAGACCTTTCCAGTTTGCAAATATACTTAAGCATAGTTATTTAATTACTAAATTCCCCTTTTTTGTTTCGTTCTTAGAATTCTTCAAAGAACTACTTGAAAATGCAGAGAAATCCCTGAATGACATGTTTGTGAAGACATATGGCCGCTTGTACATGCAAAATTCTGAGCTATTTAAAGATCTCTTCGAAGAGCTGAAGCGCTACTATGTGGTGGGAAACGTGAACCTGGAAGAAATGCTGAATGACTTCTGGGCCCGCCTTCTGGAGCGGATGTTCCGCCTGGTGAACTCTCAGTACCACTTCACAGACGAGTATCTAGAATGTGTGAGCAAGTACACAGAGCAGCTGAAGCCCTTTGGCGATGTCCCCCGGAAACTGAAGCTACAGGTCACTCGTGCATTTGTAGCAGCCCGTACCTTTGCTCAAGGCTTGGCAGTTGCCAGAGATGTAGTGAGCAAAGTCTCTGTGGTAAGTGTTTCGGTGTTCGGTGTTTGTTTTGGTTACGTTTCCCTTCAAAAGAAGTTTTGAGTGAGGTAGACAAGCCGTGGCTTCCACTGCTGCAATAGCAACATCTTCTCTCTCACACTGTCTTTTCACCCGCACGTTACGTAGTGATAGTGTGGTGAGCCCCTCATGTCTCATTACCACTCTATCCCCCTTTATATTGTGTTATTTTCAGTGAGCTAACATTGCCTGAGGACAAGACATGTGCTGTAGGGTTATAGGCTCACACTTCTCTAGATGTATGTCACCACTGCCCCTCCACACCCACCATCGAAGCTTCATAGTCATCCACAGTCCTTTGCTCCTTGCTCCCCTCCCCCCAGGGTAATGTCAGTTCTACAGTCATTATTCTCTTCAGTGGTTTCCTTGGTAGCTATTTTTAGAAGGAGGATGTAGGTCCCACTTTGGAACCTTAATTTTAATAATAGGTTTAATACTTCTTTTTAGTTCCTATTCACTTCCCTTCCAGAGAAAGAAACAGGAAGAATAGGCTTTCTGTGAAACTTAATGTGGACCACCTGCTCTGGACACCTGCTTCGTTTCCCAGATTATGAGTAGAGAAGATGAAATGGCAATATGTAGGCAGAGGCAGAGGAAGTGAAATACATTTCCCTCACTTGTAAAGGGAATTGAACCAGACCAGTCTTTTCCAGACTGTCCTCTTTGCTCAGGCGGGGCCCCTTGGACAGCAGAGGTGATGTGATCTTCCACTACTGGAAGGGGGGTAGAGTGCAGTGCTACCTTTCCCACCAGATTGCCCCACAGAAGCTTTCCTTTCCTCAGTTCATGCAGCAGATCAGGGTTAGAGCGAGATTTCAAGGAGAAAAAGAAAGTCTCTGTGATTCTTTCCTCCATCCCTCCCAACCAAAGATGAAATTTGAAACTCCCTGAACGCCTTCTGACTTCTGCCCTCCCATGACTAAATACCAGTGAAAAAAAATAGATTGTACTGAACCAAAGTTACCTTTGCAGACTGATCTTAGTGCTGTTTCCTTTAAGGAAAACCCAAATTTTAGTCTACTGCTGAACAGTCTGGAGATGCAAGGACAGTTTTCCCCACTTAGATTGCTTAGTGGATGGAAGGATTCATTGACATCAAACTTGACTGCAGTGATGAATGGTGACCTGAGTGCTTATCAGAGTGCACTTATTTTTAAATTTTTAAAAATATTTACTTATACATACAGAACTGGGGTACACGCCAGAGGTGGGGGTGGTGGTGAGAGGCTTCACTAGAGACAGAGCAGAGAGCAGAACAGGCAGATTGATGAAGTACAATGATGAGGAGAGCAAGGGGTGAGGCAGGAGAGATATGCTGCGCCATGTGGGTCACCTCTGGGGTCGGGGATCTAACTGACGCTGCAATGGATGTGAACTGCTTCTTAGTGCTGAGGCTTCACCCCTTGTGCTACCAGGGAGGCCCTCAGAGAGTTCATTTAGAGTGAAGGTGGCATATATTTATTTTCCAAACTGAGATACCTACTGCCTAAATTGTAGGCACTGATCAACAGTCATTCACAGTTAACATTTGACACACAGTTTTAATAAGCACCCAAGACTATACACAATCCCGCTAGTTATCAGGGAAACTTACCCCTCCAGAGTGAAGAGAAATATTCTGAAGAATTGTGTTATACACAGTTGGTGCTTATAAGCTATTTCAGGTTAGAATTGGCTCTTTAGAAGCATTAGTTGACTGCTTGTGTTTCATTGCTTCAGTTTTGTTGGTTCTCTAGCTCATCTCCCCGCCATAAACTGTCAGGAAACACTGCTTTCCAGCATGTTACTGTTTACTCCTTTTCCTCCTGATGTTTTCATTGTAAATTTTAAGTTTCGGGGATACAGGGGGGTGGGGTGGGAGCAAGTGCAGAAGGTGATGATTATAATTACAGGAATAAACTGGTTCCTGAACTTCTGCCAACTGTATAACCATTAGTAATTTTAGAGATGCTCATGTCAGCGTCCCTAACAACACAAGTTAATCCAGATCAAGTTATTTACATTGGCGCTCACCGGAGACATTTGCCCTCCTTTAACCATTCCTCATTCCTGATGGGTGCCCTGCTTTCCCAGTTCACCTATTCCACACAGGGTTGCAGTTATAACTTCAGCAGTGACTAGTGATCACTAAGCCGTGAAAAGGCCTATGGTACCAGGAGTCTTAGCTTACTTCAGGAGCGAGTGACTTCTGAGCCTTGCTTCAGTTGTTCTAGACCCAAACATGCACTGATTTCAGCTCACTTCGTTGAGTTTTACCATTGCAGCTTCAGAAAAGTGCCTTTAATTAGTAACAGATCGTTCCAGAATACCCTGGTGCTACACATCTTTGGATTTCTTATTCCATCTTTACTTGTCATGGTTCATGATACATTTCTTATTTACCTGCTTTTGTAGCAGCAGTTTTGCCTGGAAGGGTGAAGTCTGTTGTGGTCTTTCAAAAATGCACAAGTGGTTACATGCACCATGAAAATTAATAGCTCCTATGCCAAAGAGAGTTGCATTCTCATGGTTTCAATTAACACTGACATAATGGGACTATGTCTACACCCCCACCCCAAACTGCAGGGGCTATAATTAGATATCCGTGCCTCACCATTGTGATATCCAAATGACTGTCTTGCTTGAAAACATTTTCCATGGCTCCCCCTCCCCGCTTCTGTTTATTCACACGCCCCCAAACATACAAGAGGATGACAAAAATTATTTTGCCATTTCCCACAATCATTTCAGGGCTCAGTGCAAAAGCTTTTTAAGAAATGAAGTGTAGACATTTACTTGACGTTTAATATCTCTCCCCCCCCCCCAACTTAAAAGACCAGAATTACAAAGAGGAAAGTGGAGCTTTAGCTGCAGTGGCAGTGGGGTTGGGATGGTGGGGTTTGGCTGTGCCAAGGATCGAATTAGCTGAGATGACACGCTCTCGAAACAAAAATAGAGCGCTCCATGCACAAGTGCTTACGTGCACTAGGGGGTTTACACACCGATGCTTCAACTTACAAATTACGGGTCTAGCTTATAATAGGGTAATGCCGATAGGGCTGCCTTTAATTGAGTCAGAGTTAGAGCTGAGGCTCATAATTTAAAACAAGGCAAACTTTCAACTATTTATGTGATTTCAAACTTTTCTCTATAATGTATCTACAACTGCTCCTGAACAGAGCTTAGCTTATTCTATAGATTTGGTTGCGTTTTAAAAATTCTAGTACCAGGAAAATGGCTCAGAAGTCCTCATCCTGCCTTCTTTGCAAGTATGTGTGTGTGCACTGAATTCAAAACCAGTTAGTTCTGTTGAATAAACTCATCACATCTCACGGCATGTTTGAGTCCCCTATCGTTCTCTTTTACCATAATTTGGGGAAATATTTCCTGTTATTTTTATTGGGTGCTTATGTTACCAAGCAACTAATAAAATCTAGACCCTCTCTGTTTGTTTGGTATGACTGGCTGTGCAGAAAAAAAAAAAAAGTTGCAGCAAATGTCTGTTGGAACTGGAATAAACGTAAAGGAAATGTGTTTTCAAATCCAGTGCTGGGTGTTGACTGCCATTGCTGGGCGCTGTGGCTCACAGCTCATTCTGAATTGCTGAAATGAAACCAGCATTTTTCATTGGGGGGGGGTCTGCTTGCAGTAGTTTTTAATGTGGTGTGCGGAAAATGCAGGTTATTTGGTAGAAAGTCTCAATCTATATTTAAAAAGAGTCTTTGCAAAGAAGGGGACTTTTCTGGAAAGGCTTTTATTTTCAAGAGCAGACATGGTGTGCAGATGTCATGTAAAGTGTATATCCTGAGGAAGGTCAAGATGAGTATTTTTACCAGCGTTCTAATAAATTAAAAGGGATTTTTACATACATGACATGTAGAGTAGCTCTTAAAATCTCTATTCTACAGCACCTCTCCTGAGTTAGAGTTGGAAATGGGCTATTACTATATTGCCACTGTGTCAGTAACTCGGCTTAGTTTGACTTAATAAGAAGTGTGACCCCAATAATGTTCCCTTCTATCATATCACCCCCAAGTGGTAAACAAATCATCAAAGCTCATTCCTACATATGTAATGTCCATACTTTCTTCTTACACAAATAATGCCCAGGTTCCTAGTAGAAATTGACCATCTCTACTACATTTAGGTGGAATTCTTTTAGAATGCTGAAATGTTGGTAAAAACAGGCATTGTCTTTGGTTTTGTTGAAATAAACTCTTGTCTCCGTGGCTAGCAGCGTTTGCTTGAGCCTTTCAGTGGATTGTGAGGAAGGGCCAATGAGTGATATATGATGTATTTTTTTTTCACGCCTACAACATCTTGAAATGTTCTGAGGATATTACATTGGCTGAATGAATCAGTATTGTTTATTAAACAATGTCATCTCAGCCATGTGAATAGTCAAGCCGTGTTCTATGTAGAACACTTCACCCTAACTTGCCAACCAATTTAAAAAAAAAAAAACTGATTCATTTGGTCAATAAATTTGAAGAAAGAAAATTGTCATAAAAAAAAAAATCCAGTCCACTACCCGTGTTCTCTCCCAAGTGAGTGTCCTGCACTAGGTGTGAGATCAGTGGGGAAGGGACAGTCCCGTGTGGCATACCCCCACTTTCTGCAGTCTGTTGCTCAGAACAAGCTGTTCAGATACACATCAAGGAAGTCAATATATCTTTTCTAGAACTGATTTTCTTGGTTCAAATAGTGGCTCTGCCATTTACTGGAAGACCGCGTGAGTGCCTTCATTTCTTTTGATCTCTGCTTCCTCATTTGTGACAAGAGTCCCAATCATATAGGAATATAATTAGATGCAAAGGGGTTGATACATATAAAGTACTTAGAACAGAGCTTGGGACATAGTAAGTCTTCTGTATCATATAATCAATCACCAGAATCCTATGAGAGCTATTAATAGACAAGCAATTCTGAAACAGAACAGAGTATTTTTCTCTTAAATCTTGACATCAAGACCTTCATGTTAATGA